CGAGCTTCAAGTCTACCACAAGTTTTTTATAGTCTCGGATGTCTTTACCAAGGTCTGCGAGGACAAGTAGATTCCCACCGAACTCGGAATGGGTTTCGACTCCTTTTGCTTCGTCTCTTTTTCTACAAAAGGTAAAAGTTCCAACCTGTTAGTACACAAAACAAAACCGACATCAGAGAAATATACATGGAACAATGAACAAAATAAACTCACTTGTTCCGGAATGAATATTCATCGGAATTGTCATCCCATCTATCTGAGGTTCATGGAAAAAACTCTCTGATTGCCATTCTTCTCCAACCCACAGCCATTCTTCTTGAAAACCATGGAGGGTTTCCGAGATGTCGGTTATTATCTCACCGACCTGAAGACCGTGTTACGATTTTGCCCCAGCAAAGAAACAACATGAAGACTCCGCCACTCTCCTCTTCGGACTCTTTTTAAAGGCATAAATACTCCTTATTTCGTCACACGACGGTAAACCCTCACCTCTTTCATGCACTAACACAATCAGTCTAATAATTTCTTCCAACTGTTCGGTGTTATCTGACATAACGGTAACCCCCAACTCCGGAGGTATTCCGTAATTAGACTTGGCAACGGGAACCGCAATCCCGACCTCAAACTCTCAGCAAATACGCCAACACAACCCGGAGGAGGACTGGTTATTCTCTCCCCGGGGTAGGTGCAAAAATTTTTACCGATGGTGGAATCCGAACTTGTTCTCGAAGCATCACTACATCGGCATCAGTCAAAATACTCGGCTCACCTTCGAAATCGACTGCGGGATCAAGCCACTGCCTCACTGGCCTCCTCCAGTGAGGTTCTCCGACATCGGCCGCATTCTCCTCCACCACGCAATCGCTGTCCTCATCGTTCGGCTTAATGTCCAAGTGCCTCACCAGCATCGGATCCCACCGATGATACTCGAAAGCCAATTCAATTAATTCTGAGTCATGATACACCTCTAATGGAACCGAATCCGTGCTGGACGAACTTACAACGGCCTTGCCCTTTCCCTTCGACGCCATCGAATAGAAAGAAAGATGTAATGCAGAGAAATAAGCAAAAAATTGACAATAAAGCTTACCAAGAAATCAGCAAACAGACAATCACGCGCAAAGAACAAATCTCAAATTTGCAGAAGAATTTCGATAGCAGTTTGCAAGAATTTGAAGATGAAAGCGAAAGTGAAGAAAGTTCGATTAAAAATCTCGACGCACTATTTATAAGTCCCTATTTCTGACCGTTGGGGTCCTCAATTAGGGGCGCGTGCAACCGACGCGACCTCTAATCCCAAGCGGTGCAATCCCTTCACCTGACAAAAACCTACTGTACACGTGGCACCCTATTAAAGCGACCGTTATTTCATTTAAGACCATTACGGCGCAACCTTTCACG